AATCCCTGGCCTGAGTTGTACATAACTGTCATGAGCTCTTGACTAACCAGGATACTGTGAACTCCACAGGAGTCTCACCCTTCCTTTGGAATTTTCTTTTCATCTTCGGAGTGCACAGTAAATGCTCTGTCTGTGTAGGAGGAGTGAATTGAGACAGGAGGATTGATAGTCTGCTCTTGACGGCTAAGGGTAAAGGAGGTATTCCTCCTCCACCACCCCCAGACTCTCAGTATAGAAGAGCAGCATAGTGGGGATGGTCTCAGCTGAGACAATTGATGAAATTAAACTAGGGTATCCTAACTGGTACTCAAAAAAGATGAAATCTTAGGTGTCACTGCATGATGCAGAGATTGGAGCGTGCAAAAGGAGATTATGGTGTTGGCATGATCATGCTATTGGTGATTGTGAAAAAGGATAGAAGTAGTCAGCGTCGCTTCTCCTAGTTCCTTTTCAGTTGGATGAAATTTTTTCTGTCAGACTTTCCTTGCCAGGAATTCAGCTCCGCCACTATTCACTAAGCATCAATCAGTCCAAGCTTTAGAGCCTGGTTTTTCAAAGATGAACGTGACCCAGCCCTTGTTCAAAAATAGACTCAAACTAATAGAGAAAAGCCATTGTTAATACCATTTTTTCATGAAAATATTTTGGATGATATTATTTGATGCACAATGACCAATAATATCTTATTTATTAGAATGTCATGATTTGTACCCTACGAGGCCAGGCTTTTGTTGGAAGGGCAGGCTGTCTACATCATGGGCAAAAAGAAATTTTAGATTGTAGATCTAAATGTGAATCAATAAAGATTCTCAATGAAAAATGTGGGCTAAAGGAACTTAGGATGGGGGATAGGGGAAAGGACAGTAGGGAAAAGGAAAAAAATGCAAGTCAGTTGGATGATTAGTGTCTCTTAGTTCATTAAAAAGGAAATTTTGTGCTAATATCGATTGGAGAAATTTTTATGCCCATATCTTGTACCCTGAGCAACTACTTTAAAGATAACAACATGTTATGTATTAACTGTAGTTATTCTCCTAATATTGTGTTATAAAATTTTGTTTTACCTTTTTTCCATAAAATAAAAAAAGTTAAAAGGGAAAATGTAGGCTAACTTCATGACTTTGGGGTAGGCAAAGGTTTTCTTAAGAGGACACAAAAATATACTAGCTATAGAGAAGATAAAAATGGATAAACTGGACTACATTAAAATACTTTCAGTTAATCACAAGCTAACACTGAAAAAGTCTAAGGAATGAGAAAAAAGTTGCAATAAGAATATTCAAGAGTTTTAAGAATTTTATTCATTCATTTATTTATTTATTTATTTTTGAGACAGGGTCTTGCTACGTAGTTCAGGCTGGTCTTGAGCTGACTTTGTGGCCCAGGCTGGTCTCGAACTCGCAGCGATCCTCCTGCCTCAGCCTCGTGAGTGCTGGGATTACAGGTGTGCACCACCACCCCTGACTGCAATAAGAATATTCAAAAGAGACTTGTGTGCACACTATATAAAGAACTACCAATCCAAAGGAAGAGGTAGACTACCCACTAGAAATATGTGGATTAGGTAGGCTTTAGTAAGCACTCACAAAAGAGGATACTGTTGTCTTGATTGGAGATAGCAATTGGAAGGGAAGGGGCACAAGGAATTTCTGGGGTTCTGGTACTAACTTTGGTTACTTGGACATATTTAATTTGTGAAAAGCCTTCAGTTTTGGTTTCTGCATTTTTCTGTATTATGTATGTTATACTTTCATTGAAAATGTTTACATTAAAAAAGGCAATGCCATGTCCAGGATGAAGGATGTAAGGAAAATATTTTTAGAGTTGAACACTGTCTACAAGTATATCTCCTTATTTAGAATGTTCCCTGTATGGAAGCAGAAAGATCACAGAGAATGTAGGGCTTTGCAAGGTAGCTAGAACAGGTCAGTTGTGTGAACTAGTCCTGCACACGGAGTGATAGTATCTTTTTTGTTTTGTTTATATATATATATATATAATTTTAAAGAGAAAAAAATAAAACAAAATTTCAAGACCAGATAACAGAAGGGTAACAATGGTTAATACATTGTGTATTTTTTTTTTCTGGTACCGGGAATCGAACTCATGACCTTGTGCTTGCCAGGCAGGCACTGTGCCACTGAGCTAAACCCCAGCCCCTAATACATTGTGTATTGTTATCTTTAAATTAGTTACTCAGTGATAATATTTTAAGCCAGTAAGGCTTTTCCTACCAGTATCTTGAGATGGGAGGAGCAAAATAAAAATAATTGTGGAGAAGACATTAGGAACAAGCTTGATTACTTTCCAATTATGTGGCTGGTTAACTTGACCTGTAATTGTGTTTAAACTACCACTTATTGATCCCTATTTTCATGGGCCCAGACACTGAGATAGAGGCTTTCTGTGCATTACAGATGTAAAAGTCTAACCATAATCTCATAGGAATATACTATTATTACCTGAATGTACAGGTGAAATAACTGAGGCTTATCGGGATTAAGTCACCTGCTCACATTCCAACTAAGATACCGTATTAAGCTGTAGCTGGAATTCAGGTCTGTATAATTATAAAAGTCTAGCTTCTTGACATGTCTATTAATTATGCTGCTATATATATATTTATTTTTTGTCTTTTTGAGCCAGGGTCTCGCTATGTAGTTCAGGCTGGCCTTGGACTCACAGCAGTCCTCCTGCCTCAGCCACCGAAGTGCTGGGATTATAGGTGTGCACCACCATACCCGGCTGCGTTATATTTCTTTTTTTTGCCTTATATTTCTTGAGCCAATTTTATTTGATTGTACATAATAAGGAGAAGAAAATACTTAACATAATAGATGCAATATTCAAATTTGATATTCAAAAGAACTGAAACCAATTTGAATGTGAGCTTTACTGTACTGTACGTTGTTGTGGATTGGCATTTTCTTTTTCTGGTAAGGAATTAGTGGTGGTGGTGGTGGTGATTGAGAAAGCTCTGTGAAACAGCGGTGTGATGGGAATGCTGTGTAAGGGTGACCCAGGAGCCCTTCTCAAGGCTTTAGAGACATTTTAACAACCTGAGTAATTGCTTATGATGGACAGACTTTGTTTTCTGTTTATTAATGATGCTCCAGGCTAGATTTTAGTCCTCTTCCCACTGATTCATATGCAGATATGTATAAAATGGTTACTGCCTACTGATTGCCACACCACTGCCTGCATATCAATGCTGTTCTGCTGGCTTGGGCACAGAGGGTGAGAAAGGAGAAAGGGAGGAAAAGGGTGTGACAGGAACCTGGGACAGCTGAATCTGTTCTAAAAGCCAAATTCTTGTGTAGAAGTCAGAATTTTGACATACAGCAATTGTTATTTGTGCATAGTTAGGATATTGGTATTGCCCTACTTAGCACACATGTGTTCTCTTCTTCCCTTGTTGTGATATATTGGATGCCTTGGGTGTGTGCATAGGTAGATATTTGATATTTTTAGTTCTTTTTGCTTCTATCGCTCATTTTTGGTCCTCGGGGCACTCGTATTTGCAGCCTGTGAAGTGTTTATAGCATCAGAACATTATCACAGCCTTAAATGAAATTTGAATGATTTACTTCCAAATGTGTCTTCCCAACAGTCTAATGACCGTAATGACGGTGTAAGCAATATGACAGAAAGGCACATGCTCTGATTTGAATGGAAATATTTGTGTATATAGTTTTAGATCTTTCTGTTTATTAGAAAGAAAAAACCTTTCTTTATCCTTAGGGCTAATTTTCTGGCTTTTATTACTATAATAACACATACAACAGAAGCACCAAACAAACTGTGATAATTGAAAACGCCCACATCTAACCCAATTTAATTTATTGTGCTGGAATCTATCTAGTTGTATGGGCTTGTTTTATGTACAGATGCTTATTTTAAAAAACTGGACAGGAGCTCTGGTTTGCATTATGGGAGATGTAGAACTAGTTTAGAAGAAGATTGCACTTCGGGGAATATGTAATTATTTATTAATTAGATTAGCATTGTACGCTGTGTCTTGAAGCTATCCCGAGAACTGTAGGAACATCTGTTGTGCTGCGATTTTGGAGGCTTGCTAGGCTGTTTCCCCAAACGCCTTGACAACAGCAGTTTGACATTCTTGGAATAGGCAGTGCCACAGTGCTGCAGTCACCGTAGGGATTTTTCAGCTTGGCTTCATGTGGGTAAATTGATACTCTCAAGTGCATTTAAGGTGCTCGTTTTTTTAGAGGTTTGTTTTCACTGAGTCCTGGCTTTTCTCTTTCCTTATTTAGTGAAATAGTGACAACTGCCATTTTCTACCTTCAAAGAGTATTATTAGTGCTCTTATAAATAGAAAATCACTTTCCAGGTGGGCCTGGAAACCATTTCGTACACATGGCCTTATTTAAATAGCCAGGGCTTTGCATGTATAAATGGGCAAGTTTTCAGGCAGTTTGGGTAGGCTTTCCAATCACATCTCTCCCTTTCCTGTCTAAACAACTTCTTCCATGTCCACAGCATGTTTATGCAACGCTGAATAAAACTTTTAATGCGAAATTTCTTCCAGGTGACCTCCCCAAGAGGCTGTGCCGTGAAGAAATCTTAAGAAACCCGACCCTGATGAAATTGCCTCCCTTGAGAATATTACTTGGTGCAGAAACAAGAGACGGAATTCAGTTATTTTTGGTTCTTGAATAAACGAATTCTGTTTCCTTTTGTGTAGGTGACAGAAGAAATGAACCCCTGCAGAAGGCCCAATCTCAGTTGGAAATTGAACTTTGGATTTCTTGGTTAGGAGAACCCTGGATAAGAGAATGTTTAAGTGTTTTTATTTGAACATTAAACAACTTGGAATTGGTTCTGCTATCCTTCTGTGTTTTACAGATATGTATTTTCCAGGGTTATCTGTCTTTACATTTAATTTTCTCTAGGCTGAAACTGTGATTAGCTAATGACCTGCAATTTGCATCGCATGGGGATGGATACTAATGAATCTATTTCTTTTTTGACCTTCCCAGCACTTTTGGAGAAGTCAATCAGTAGAAGGCGGGACTCTGAAGCCATACAGAAGGCCAAAATTCTTTATTCATCTTGTATGAATGAAAGTGAGTAATAAGGAAACCAAATAAAACATTTACCACCCTTAGCCTTCTGAATTCTATTAATGTTTAAAGTCACTGTTTAAAGAAAAAGAGAACTGAAAACTCTCTTAATGTTTAGAGGCCTTGTTTAAGGAAAGGAACATGGTCAGTGACAGGATTTTGATTAATCTTCCTTAGTTACTCTTTTGTGGTTGTCTTGGTGGAGAAAGTAATCTTATATTTGTGATATGGATTATTTGGGTATCAGGTACTCTGTGAGACACTTGGACAGGGCCGTAGGGCAAGCCTCACTGTACCTGATACAAAAACAAGAATCCAGAGGCCAGGCCATTTCATGTCTGAGAAGAAGACTGGGAGGGAGTGTACCTGGGAGAATTCATATGTTCTATATGACCTACTGGAACCTAGAGAAATCCAGATTCCCAAGCTCCTTCGTTTAGTTTAACCAGAGTCTTTGTTGAGAGCCTCCCACCCGTCTCTTGGCATCTTGGGTCTCACTAGAGTTGGAAGAGATACTTTCCACTTTACCTGATCTGCTTTCTCAAGTCCGTTGCAGAAAGAAGACAGTGGTTCTGGGAAGTATGTGGTCTGGGCTAGCATTTGGGGTATCATTTGGTAAACTAAAAGAGGACAGTAAAAGAACAGAGTCTGAAGCATTACTTTACTTCACTAGGGAGTGACTGGCTTTATTGAGTCATTTCCTTTAGTTATTTGTCCTTAGATACCACCAAGTATGATCAGACTAACTTCATTCACTGGGGCCAATGTAGGGAGCCCATCTTCTATTGCAGGGAAAACCCAGCAGGTTTTGCTGTCAGCTTCTCTGGCAAAAACACCAGATTTGGATGATCATATTGAGTGTGAGTTGTAGGTGGGCTTGTCTCTGTGGTTATGCTCAATCCACTCCACATCACCCATCCTTTTCCTAACAGCTGAAATTTCAAGTTGAGGCCGTGCAGAATTTTCTCCTCGGAAAATTCTCTCCACTTGCATTCTTGTTTGGTGATCTGGTTTGCAATTCTAACTCTCCCTTCTCCATATCTACTCCCTTTCAGAAGCGATTGAGAAAGCAGATGCCAAACCACTGCTCCATATCCTGCGACATTCACCTTTCCGCTGGCCTGTGCTTGAAGCTAATATTGGTCCAGAGGGAGTCTGGTCAGAGAGAAAATTCAGCCTTCTGCATATACTTGCAGCATTCCGTGGTCAATACAGCAATTCTGTATTCATCCGCTTGTATGTGTCCCCCGATGACAAAGCATCCAATGAACACATTTTGAAGGTATAGCCAGAGCTCTGTTCAACGCAAGATTAATCTTTTGGGGTGCCTTCCTAGGGAAAGAAAGTCATTCTGTCTTAGTGAATGATCAAATAAAAGTTGTGATGAACTTTTAATCTAGAATATTACCCTCTTTAAGATGTGCAGAATTTAGATTACTGGCAGACAAATTTTGTCAGCCTTTTGGGATGCACGTGAGTTTCAAAGCGATCTGTGATCTGGCCCTCCAATATCTGCTCTGAGCAGGGGTCCCCTAAATTCCAGCTAAGAGACAGCTGTGATTTTCCAGCTGTTATCAAAAACTTTCTGAACTCTACCCTTTCCCTCACCCCCTCGTTCCCCTGACAGAGAATAGAATACATGGGTGATTTCTTGTTCCCCTTTCATGAACATTTTGCATACACGCCTACGTTCTCATTGTCAAGTTCAATCTGAATTTCTCCTCCTTCCTTTTAAAATATCAAGCAGAACTTGTTCTAAGTAGATGATTGCATTTCCTGTTGAGAGAGTAAGCACCTCTTCCATGAAGGATTGGGTCCTGTGGACATGCCCTGAGGAAGATCACACTATTAAAATCAGGAGACTGTCAGGAAGCTAGCAACAACAGATTTATCCATGAAAGAGCTTTGTGAGGATACCAATGGCATTTTTTAAATCACTCTGTGCTTTGATCTTGCTGTTTTTTACTTTCACACTTACTTTGACTAATAATGTTATTGAACAATTGACCCCCCTAATTTTGTTGTTTGTCAGGCTAGAAAATATTAATGGTATATTGATATTCAAGTTGTAGAAGGTATGAAACTGTTAGAGTGTATCATCCGTACCTTATATAATTCAGCTTTTTTGAAATCCAAACCCTGGAGTTGATCTTGGGTTAGACCAGAGGGTGGCAATTGTTTTCGTAAAAGGCCAGATAGTGCATATTGTAAGTTTTGCAGGCTGTCTGGTCTTTGTTGTAACAACTCGACTTTGCTATTGTACTTGTGTAAACAGCCTTAGACAATGAGTGGGTGGCTATGTGATGGGCTATAGTTTTCTGACTTCTAGACAGTGAAAGTTTCAATAAAAATCCTTAGTCATTGAATGAATTCCCACCTACTCAGAAGGAAATTCTGAGTTTCCGAGTCAGCTGTGTTTCCGTGTTGGGAGATGAAGTGATCCTATGGTATTGAGCCATCTTCTGATGCTATCAGGATAAGATGTAGTATGCAAGATGCAGTGATAGGGGGACACATTGGGCCTCTCTCCCTTGTTGATAGATTACTCATTTTCTAAAGGTGGGTCTTAAGACCATCATTCTCAATTCCACAGCCATTACGATATAGTCTTTCAAACACTTTAGGTAGTGTTTTGAAGTAAGCTGGAAACTATCTTTCAAACTCAAGTTTATGTACACTATTGGTCAATAGGAGATCTTGACTTATAGATAAATAATGCAAATAGTAACCATTTTATTTCCACTATTTTTGGATATATGTCAAATAACTTTTTTATTGGATATTGACATATCCAATTATTGGATATTTTTATTGACATATATTTGGATATATGTCAAATAACTTTATTATATAAAATCAAATAACTTTCCTTAAGCATGCTATTATGGCAAATAATACACATAAAAATAAAGAGAATGGAACATCAAACCTCACTGGAGCCATCAACCCAACTTCATTACTCTCAACTTTCTCTCGTTCTTATTTTTCCTGAATGCCTCATTTTTGAGAGAAGAGGTCATAACATTTCATAGCAAATTGAAAGTACGATTCCATTGTATAGGGAGTGCGTCAGTGCTGATCTAATCTAGAGGGCACTCATCAGAACAACAAGAGTAATCACAATTCCACAATTAACATCTCATACGTGGTTAATTTTCAGTTATCCCGATTGGCTCAGATATGTCCTTTTAAGTTAAAAGTTTAGTTTAATTTAATTTAATTTAATTTAATTTAATTACTTCTTTGTGATGCTCATGGTGGAACCTAGAGCCTTGAACACGCTGGTCAAATGCTCAACCACTGAATTACACTTGTAACTCTCAATCGTAAGCTTAAAGACACCCTAAATCAAAAGCAGTTGGTCTTTGATTTGAGCTCCAATATTCTAATCTGCAAGTTTCCCTTCTTATTGTTTTTGAACATCACATTTATTTGTTTTTTTTGTTTGTTTGTTTGTTTTTTTTTTTTTTTTTTTTTTTTTTTTT